TCCCTATTGCTCAACCACGTTATGTATGCCGATGATTTGGTAATAGCTGCTCATTCAGAGGAGGAGTTGGAGGCGCTGCTGCTGAGACTGGAGCGTGCCACTAAGAGGTGGGGCCTTACCATCAGCCCAACGAAAACTAAGCACCTGCCTGGGTATTTTGTACCATCGGACACTCCACCCCCACAACTTCCAATCGGTGATGGGGCAGTTGTGGAGAGAGTGGAGAGTTTCCCATACCTGGGCAGTGTGCTTATGACTGGCTCCAGTTTAACAGCAGAGGTCTCACTCCGAATCAGTCGAGCGGCAATATCTTTTCAATGGTTGCGTAACGCTGTGTGGAAGCTACCTGGTCTGTCGCTCCGCACTAAGCTTCAGGTCTTCTCGGCCACAGTCATTCCCTCCCTTCTCTACGCTTGCGAATTGTGGACCCCCCTAATGGAACATCTTCGCCGGTTAGAAACATTTAGGCTAGCCTGCCTACGATCCATCCTGGGTTTAACCAGGCTGGATTGTGAGGCGCTCACACATCCTTGAAAGATCTGGGCAAGGTCCCATCGGTGAGCTCCTCCGGCAGGCAAGGCTGCGATGGCTGGGTCATGTAGCCCGCATGCCCAGCCACCGCATGCCCAAACAGCTTTTGTTCGGCCGGATCGAGGGGGCTAAACGGGTGCGGCACGGGCTAGAGAAGAGATGGAGTGATGTGGTACAGGAGGACGTGGAGCTGAGTGGGCTTGCCGATGACCGGTACCAGCGGTGTCAAGATCGGCCTCTGTGGAGGAGGCTTGTGAAGGACGCTACTGGGCAGTTGGAGGCAGTCGCCCTCCAACAACAACGGAGGGCGGAGGAGCGATGCTCACAACAACGAGCGGAGCGCCGGGTGGCTAAAGCACAGCGGGTTGGCACAGTAGGGGGCACAGGTGGTGCATCAGCCAGTCATCTCAGTCAGTCGACCCGTGGCACCTGGGTCTGCCCCGTGACCTCCTGCCAGCGGGTGTTCGACACTTCACGTGGCCTCAGGGTGCACATAGCCTGGCACAAGCGTTGTGGTGACGTCACCTCCACTTAGTGGCGAATGGCGGTTGTTGTGTATAGGTGTGTGTGTGTGTAGTTGTGTGTGGGTGTCTGTGTGTATAGGTGTGTATGTAGTTGTGTGTAGGTGTGTGTGTGTATAGGTGTGTGTGTAGTTGTGTGTGTGTGTAGTTGTGTGTGTGTATAGGTGTGTGTGTGTAGGTGTGTGTGTAGTTGTGTGTGGGTGTAGGTGTGTGTGTATAGGTGTGTGTGTAGTTGTGTATAGGTGTGTGTGTGTGTGTGTAGGTGTGTGTGTAGTTGTGTATAGGTGTGTGTATATGTGTGTGTAGTTGTGTGTAGGTGTGTGTGTATAGGTGTGTGTGTATAGGTGTGTGTGTGTAGTTGTGTGTAGGTGTGTCTGTGTGTATAGGTGTGTAGTTGTGTGTGTAGGTGTCTGTGTGTGCAGGTGTGTGTGTATAGGTGTGTGTGTGTGTATAGGTGTGTAGTTGTGTGTGTGTGTGTCTGTGTGAAGTTGTGTGTGTGTGTGTGTAGTTGTGTGTGTCTGTGTGAAGTGCTATAGCTGGAATGTGTTGTGGTCACAAGAATGCAGTTGGTATGTGGACATGTGCGTGAGTGTGAGTTAGTGTGTGTGTGAGTATATGTCTGTGAGTGTGTGTGTGAATGTGAGTGCGTGTGTATGTGTGTGTATGTATGTGAGTATATATGTGTGAATGTGTGTGTGTATGTATATGAGTGCGTGTGTATGTGTGTGTGTATGTATGTATGTGAGTTTATGTGTGAGTGTGTGTGCGTGTATATGTGAGTGTGTGTATGCCCACTACCATTACCACTAGTGGTAGTGCTGGTGATGTAGTAAACATCGATACTGGGGGAGACAAAGGCGGCCGGGAGTGGTGGTGCTGGCCACCCACCCCCACCTCTGTGTTTGTAGCCACAGTGCCAGTAGCCTTCATAGGCGCTGCTGCTACTAGCAGCACCTGCCCCTACAGCCTACTAGAGGCTACCTGGGGGAGCTTTGTCTATGTCTCAGCACTTGCCCCTACAGCCCTGCTAGAGGCTACCTGGGGGAGTTTTGTCTGTGTCTCAGCACTTGCCCCTACAGCCTACTAGAGGCTACCTGGGGGAGCTTTGTCTATGTCTCAGCACTTGCCCCTACAGCCCTGCTAGAGGCTACCTGGGGAGCTTTGTCTGTGTCTCAGCACTTGCCCCTACAGCCCTGCTAGAGGCTACCTGGGGGAGCTTTGTCTTTGTTTCCGTGTGGATATTATTGTACTATACTCTATCCCATAACCCTATCCCATAACCCACGCTCTATCCCATAACCCTATCCCATAACCCACGCTCTATCCCATAACCCTATCCCATAACCCACGCTCTTATCCCATAACCCTATCCCATAACCCACGCTCTTATCCTATAACAGTATCCCATAACCCATGCTCTTATTCCATAACCCTATCCCATAACCCACGCTCTTATCCCATAACCCGATCCCATAACCCACGCTCTTATCCCATAACCCTATCCCATAACCCACACTCTATCCCATAACCCGATCCCATAACCCACGCTCTATCCCATAACCCTATCCCATAACCCATGCTCTTATCCCATAACCCTATCCCATAACCCACGCTCTATCCCATAACCCTATCCCATAACCCACGCTCTATCCCATAACCCTATCCCATAACCCACGCTCTATCCCATAACCCTATCCCATAACCCACGCTCTTATCCCATAACCCTATCCCATAACCCACGCTCTTATCCCATAACCCATGCTCTATCCCACAACCCGATCCCATAACCCACGCTCTTATCCCATAACCCTATCCCATAACCCACGCTCTTATCCCATAACCTTATCCCATAACCCACGCTCTATCCCATAACCGGATCCCATAACCCACGCTCTATCCCATAACCCTATCCCATAACCCACGCTCTATCCCATAACCCTATCCCATAACCCACGCTCTTATCCCATAACCCTATCCCATAACCCACGCTCTTATCCCATAACCCGATCCCATAACCCACGCTCTATCCTATAACCCGATCCCATAACCCACGCTCTATCCCATAACCCGATTCCATAACCCACGCTCTTATCCCATAACCCTATCCCATAACCCACGCTCTATCCCATAACCCTATCCCATAACCCACGCTCTTATCCCATAACCCTATCCCATAACCCATGCTCTTATTCCATAACCCTATCCCATAACCCACGCTCTTATCCCATAACCCGATCCCATAACCCACGCTCTTATCCCATAACCCTATCCCATAACCCACGCTCTATCCCATAACCCGATCCCATAACCCACGCTCTATCCCATAACCCTATCCCATAACCCATGCTCTTATCCCATAACCCTATCCCATAACCCACGCTCTATCCCATAACCCTATCCCATAACCCACGCTCTATCCCATAACCCTATCCCATAACCCACACTCTATCCCATAACCCTATCCCATAACCCACGCTCTTATCCCATAACCCTATCCCATAACCCACGCTCTTATCCCATAACCCATGCTCTATCCCATAACCCGATCCCATAACCCACGCTCTTATCCCATAACCCTATCCTATAACCCACGCTCTTATCCCATAACCCTATCCCATAACCCACGCTCTATCCCATAACCCGATCCCATAACCCACGCTCTATCCCATAACCCTATCCCATAACCCACGCTCTATCCCATAACCCTATCCCATAACCCATGCTCTTATCCCATAACCCTATCGCATAACCCACGCTCTTATCCCATAACAGTATCCCATAACCCACGCTCTTATTCCATAACCCTATCCCATAACCCACGCTCTATCCCATAACCCGATCCCATAACCGACGCTCTATCCCATAACCCGATCCCATAACCCACGCTCTTATCCCATAACCCTATCCCATAACCCACGCTCTATCCCATAACCCTATCCCATAACCCACGCTCTTATCCCATAACCCTATCCCATAAACCACGCTCTTATCTCATAACCCTATCCCATAACCCACGCTCTATCCCATAACCCTATCCCATAACCCACGCTCTATTCCATAACCCTATCCCATAACCCACGCTCTATCCCATAACCCTATCCCATAACCCACGCTCTATCCCATAACCCTATCCCATAACCCACGCTCTTATCCCATAACCCTATCCCATAACCCACGCTCTTATCCCATAACCCACGCTCTTATCCCATAACCCGATCCCATAACCCACGCTCTTATCCCATAACCCTATCCCATAACCCATGCTCTTATCCCATAACCCTATCCCATAACCCATGCTCTATCCCATAACCCGATCCCATAACCCACGCTCTATCCCATAACCCGATCCCATAACCCACGCTCTTATCCCATAACCCTATCCCATAACCCATGCTCTATCCCATAACCCGATCCCATAACCCACGCTCTATCCCATAACCCGATCCCATAACCCACGCTCTATCCCATAACCCTATCCCATAACCCACGCTCTTATCCCATAACCCTATCCCATAACCCACGCTCTTATCCCATAACCCTATCCCATAACCCACGCTCTTATCCCATAACCCTATCCCATAACCCACGCTCTTATCCCATAACCCGATCCCATAACCCACGCTCTTATCCCATAACCCACGCTCTTATCCCATAACCCGATCCCATAACCCACGCTCTTATCCCATAACCCTATCCCATAACCCACGCTCTTATCCCATAACCCGATCCCATAACCCACGCTCTATCCCATAACCCTATCCCATAACCCACACTCTATCCCATAACTCGATCCCATAACCCACGCTCTTATCCCATAACAGTATCCCGTAACCCACGCTCTTATCCCATAACCCTATCCCATAACCCACACTCTATCCCATAACTCGATCCCATAACCCACGCTCTATCCCCTAAGACCCTAACCTGTGCCCTCTGTTGCCATTGCAGACGCGGCCTCCATCTCCTGGGCAAGGGGCCGGCGTTTCACCAGCTCATCAGCTCGTCAGCTGGTTAACAAGTCAGCTGGTCAGCTCGTCAGCTGGTTAACAAGTCAGCTGGTCAGCTAGTCATCTAGTTAGCGAGTCAGCTGGTCAGCGAGTCAGCCACTCAGCTAGTCATCTAGTTAGCGAGTCAGCTGGTCAGCGAGTCAGCCACTCAGCTAGTCATCTAGTTAGCGAGTCAGCTGGTTAACAAGTCAGCTGGTTAACAAGTCAGCTGGTTAGCGAGTCAGCTGGTTAACGAGTCAGCTGGTTAACGAGTCAGCTGGTTAACGAGTCAGCTGGTCAGCGAGTCAGCCACCATGGGTAAGAAGAAACCAGGGAAGAAGGCCGAGGAGGGAGGGGCAGCCGCAGCAGAGGTGGGGGCGGCCGGCCAGGCCAAGGGACAGGCCGGCCAGGCCGAGCAGGCCAAGGGACAGGCCAAGGGACAGGCCGAGCAGGCTGAGCAGGCCAAGGGGCAGGCCGGCCAGGCCAAGGGGCAGGCCGGCCAGGCCGAGCAGGCCAAGGGGCAGGCCAAGGGGCAGGCCGAGCAGGCCAAGGGACAGGCCAAGGGACAGGCCGAGCAGGCCGAGCAGGCCAAGGGACAGGCCAAGGGGCAGGCTGGCCAGGCTGAGCAGGCCAAGGGGCAGGCCAAGGGGCAGGCCGGTCACGGGGACGACCACGGCAAGGGGCAGCCCAAGTGCGGAGGTGGAGGAGGTGGAGGAGGAGGTGGAGGAGGAGGTGGAGGAGGACCCGCGGAGAAAAAGCCTCAGCAGGAGAAAGGCAAAGGTCACCACGGCGAGCACGGCAAAGGCCACGGCACCGATGCGGCCAAAGGTCACCACGGCGAGCCGGCCAAAGGTCACGGCGGCACCGATGCGGCCAAAGGTCACCACGGCGAGCCGGCCAAGGGCCACGCGGGGGAGAAGGAGACCAAGGCGGCGGCCGGGGCGGCCTCCCACACGGCCAAGAAGCAGAAGTCCGGCGACAAGCAGCCGCCTGAGCCCGTGCCGGTGCCGGCCGCCGCCTTGACGGCCGGCGTCGCCGCTGCCGGCGGGATATCCGACGCCGATCTCCTGGGAGGGCCGGAGCCGGGGCCCGCGGCTTCGGTGCCGCCCGGCGGCAAGCCCCAGCCGCAGGCCTCGCTGGACCTGGGCGGCCTGGACTTCGACGCCCCGCCGCCGGACGTGGACTGGAGCGCCGGGGGGACGGCGGCGGCCGTCAAGGAGAGGGAGGTGAAGAAGGAGGCCTTCGTGCCGCTCGTCGTCAAGGAGGGGGAAGGGGCCGCCGCCGGGGCCGCCGGGGCCGGGGCCGCCGCCGGGGCCGGGGCCGCCGCCGGGGCCGCCGACGGGAAAGGGCCGAAGAAGTCCGGCGCCGCTGAGAAACCGGCGGCCGCGGTGGCCCAGGTGGCCAAGGTGGCCCAGGTGGCCCAGGGGGCCCAGGTGGCCCAGGTGGCCCAGGGGGCCCAGGGGGCCCAGGTGGCCCAGGGGGCCCAGGTGGCCCAGGCCGCGCCGGTTCCGGCGGCCGGGCAGGCCGGCGACGGCCGGGGGATATCCGACGCCGATCTCCTGGGTGGGCCGACGGCGGCTCCGGCGGCGGTGGCTCCTCCCAAGCCCCGGGGGGAGGCCGCGGTGGACCTGGGCGGCCTGGACTTCGACGCGCCGCCGCCGGACGTGGACTGGAGCGCCGGGGGGACGGCGGCGGCCGCCAAGGAGAGGGAGGTGAAGAAGGAGGCCTTCGTGCCGCTCGTCGTCAAGGAGGGGGAAGGGGCCGCCGGTGCCGGTGCCGGTGCCGGGGCCGCTGCCGGTGCCGCCGGGGCCGCCGCCGGGGCCGCTGCCACCGGCGGCGGGCCCAAGGACCTAGGGGGGCCGCCCGCCAGCACGGCCTCCAAGTCCGTGCCGCTCACTAAGCTGGAGCCCGCCGTCCGCTCCAAGGCTTCCGAGCCTCCGGCCAAATCCGCCGTCCCTCCTCCTTCTCCTCCTGCTGCTGCTGCTGCTGCTTCTGCTTCGGGCAAACCGTCCTCGCAGCCTCAGGCCAAGAAGCCCTCGGCCTCCTCCTCCTCCACCTCATCCTCCTCCTCATCCTCCTCCGCGGTGGCCGAGCCTCAGCTCAAGGCCTCGGCGTGCCAGGTCAAGTCGGCGGCGGCGGCGCCGGTGCCGGTGCCGGCGCCCCAGCAGCGGCCGATGTTCTGCGTGCCCCCGGCCAAACCGTTCGCCTCCGGCGGACCGGCGCAGGGGATCTCCGATTCGGACCTCTTCCTCGGCGGCGTCGGCGTCGGCGTCGGCGTCGCCGGCAAGGGGCAGACGGTGCCCGCCTGCGACCTCGCGGCCAAACCGACGGCGCCCGGCCAGACACGGGCGGCCCAGGATCAGCAGCCGCAGCCGCAGCAGCCGCAGAAGGTGGCGTGCGAGGGCGTCCAGGCCGGCCTCTCCGCAGGGGCCTCCCTCCCGGGGGCGGCCGCGGCCGCCGGTCCAGGCGAGGCCCAGGCTGCGGGGCGGCCCGCTCAGCCGCCCCTGCCGCTCCCGCCGCCGCCATCGGCGTCGTCGGGAATTTCCGACGACGACCTCTTCGGCATCGTGCCCGACGACCCTCCGGTGGTGGGGCCTCCTCCGGTGGTGGGGCCTCCTCCGGTGGTGGGGCCTCCTCCGGCGGCGGCGGCGGCCTGTCCCGGTGCCAAGGCTTCGGCCGGCGCCTACGAAGACCTGGGCCTGGACTTCGACCGGCCCGCCCCGGACGTCGACTGGTCGGCCAGCGGCAAGCCCCTCGTCAAGGAGGAGGAGATCAAGGCCACGGTCTACATCCCACTGGTGGACGACGAGGACGATGGCGGCAGCGGCGGCGGCGGCGTGGTTGGGGCTGGGGCGGCGGCGGCGGCGGCGGCGCCGGGGGCGGTGAAGGGGGCGGTGAAGGGGGCAGTGAAAGGGGCGGCGCCAGAAGCGGTGAAAGGGGCGGCGCCAGAAGCGGTGAAAGGGGCGGCGCCGGGGGCAGCACCAGGGGCAGCGGCGAAAGGGGCACCAGGGGCAGCGCCAGGGGCAGCGGTGAAAGGGGCGGCACCAGGGGCAGCGCCGGGGGCAGCGGTGAAAGGGGCGGCACCGGGGGCAGCGCCAGGGGCAGCGGTGAAAGGGGCACCGGGGGCAGCCGCAGCAGGGGCGGCACCAGGGGCAGCGGTGAAAGGAGCACCGGGGGCAGCCGCAGGGGCAGCCGCAGCAGGGGTGGCACCAGGGGCAGCACCGGGGGCGGCACCAGGGGCGGCTGTGAAAGGGGCAGCAGTGGCGGCACCGGGGGCAGCGCCGGGGGCTGTGAAAGGGGCGGCACCGGGGGCAGCAGCAGCAGGAGGGGCAGCCGCAGGGGCAGCCGCAGCAGGGGCAGCAGCAGCAGGAGCAGCAGGGGCAGCAGCAGCAGGGGCAGCAGCAGCAGGGGCAGCCGCAGCAGGAGGGGCAGCAGCAGGAGGAGGGGCAGCAGCAGGAGGAGGGGCAGCCAAGGAGTGGGAAGGGAAAAAGGCGAAATGAGAGCGGAGATGGCGATGGGTAATCACGTGGCGGGGTGTTGCCTTGCGACCGGCTGTGCGCACACACACACAGACACACACAGACACACACTAACACACACACACTAACACACACACACTAACACACTAACACACACACTAACACACACACTAACACACACACTAACACACAGACACACTAACACACACACACTAACTCACACACACTAACACACACACAGACACACACACACTAACACACACACAGACACACACACACTAACACACACTACACACTAACACACACTACACACTAACACACACTACACACTAACACACACACACTAACACACACACACAGTAACACACACACAGACTAACACACACACAGACTAACACACACACACTAACACACACACTAACACACACACAGACTAACACACACACTAACACACACACACTAACACACACACTAAAACACACTAACACACACTAACACACACACACTAACACACACACTAAAACACACTAACACACACTAACACACACACACTAACACACACACACTAACACACACACACTAACACACACACACTAACACACAGACACACTAACACACACACTAACACACACACACACTAACACACACACACACTAACACACACACTAACACACACTAACACACACTAACACACACTAACACACACACACACTAACACACACACTAACACACACACTAACACACACACACTAACACACACACACTAACACACAGACACACTAACACACACACACTAACACACACACACTAACACACACACACTAACACACACACACTAACACACACTAACACACACACACTAACACACACACACTAACACACACACACTAACACACACACACTAACACACACACACTAACACACACACACTAACACACACACTAACACACACACTAACACACACACTAACACACAAACACAGACTAATACACACACTAACACACACACACTAACACACACACACTAACACACACACACTAACACACACACACTAACACACACACACACACTAACACACACACACTAACACACACACACTAACACACACACACTAACACACACACACCTACACACAGACACTTACACAACAACCACCATTCTCACTAAGTGGCGGTGACGTCATACACACCGGGTCGCCATTGGGGGTGGGGTGATGGGGTGTGGTGGGGTGATGGGGTGTGGTGGGCGTGGCGCATGTTTACAGAGAAGGATGGGCGGAGCCACCCGACAGGCGACGCCATATATGGACATGGGCGTGGCCATGATGTGGGGCGGATGGGGCGCGTGGCGTGGCCGAGGCATGGTCTGGGCGTGGCCATCGTGCGTGTGGGGGGGGGGGGCGTTAACGGGCGTGGCCTGGATGGTGTGGGGGGCGCGTTAATGGGCGTGGCTTCTGGGGGGTGTGGGCGCGGTTTATTGGTCCCCGGGTTACGGAAGGCGGTTACGTATGTCGGGAAGTCGGACAAAATTTTGACGATACAAAGACGAAGATCCCCCAGGTAGCCTCTAGCAGGGCTGTAGGGGCAAGTGCTGAGACACAGACAAAGCTCCCCCAGGTAGCCTCTAGCAGGGCTGTAGGGGCAAGTGCTGAGACACAGACAAAGCTCCCCCAGGTAGCCTGTAGCAGGGCTGTAGGGGCAAGTGCTGAGACACAGACAAAGCTCCCCCAGGTAGCCTCTAGCAAGGCTGCAGGGGCAAGTGCTGTGTTAGTCTCGAGTAGCAGCAGCGTCTATGAAGGCTACCGGCACTGTGGCTACACACACAGAGGGGGTGGGTGGCCAGCACCACCACCACTACACCAGGTACTCATTTGAGGCCGAGTCTACCTAGGGGAGGCTCGGGTACCGGTTCAGATAATCGCTGTTACTCCTGGGGTTGACGGCCGTGAGTGGGAATCGAACTCGGGTCACCGGGTTCGTAGCGAGCGTAGCGCTAACCACTACTACACTACACTATTACACTACACACAGTGACACAGACACAGTGACACAGACACACACAGTGGCACACACACAGACACACAGTGACACACACAGACACACACAGTGACACACACAGTGACACACACCCACAGTGACACAAACACACATAGACACACACACAGTGACACACACACAGTGACACAGACACACACACAGACACACATAGACACACACAGTGACACAGACACACACAGACACACACAGACACACATAGACACACACACACACAGTGACACACACACAGTGACACAGACACACACACACATAGACACACACACAGTGACACACACACAGTGACACAGACACACACACAGACACACACACACACACAGTGACACACACACACACAGACACACACAGACACACACAGACAGTGACACACACACAGACACACACACACAGACACACACAGACACACACACACAGACTCAAGATTTTCTGATTTCCTGCTGCCTCTGTAGGTGGGGGGTGACGTGAGTCACTTGGGGAATGGGTGCGGTAGTACGCCAATATGGCCACCGCCCGTGACGTCACACTCCCCCCCCTTACCCCTCCCCCCAAACACTCTCCTAGATCTTGCCACAGCGAAAGCAATAATTAACTATGCAATTGTTAAATCGCATTTCTTTTCATAAGCCTCTTGATAATTATTTTTTTGCGACAATATTAATTAGTGGCCATCTTGGGTAGGGGAGGTGGGTGTGGTCGTGCGCCATCTTGGGAAGGTGGTAGTGGGGAGGGGGGGGGAGTTGCATGTTTGGCTGGACCGCCTTCTTGGGTGGGGGTTGCATGTGGGTTGGGCCGCCATCTTGGCTAAGGGGTAATCGCCCCCCTGGGTGGGAGCCATCTTGGTCAAGGGATAACCCCTCCCGAGGGGGGGGGGCGCCATCTTGGTCAAGGGGTAATCCCTCCCAGATGCCATCTTCGTCAAGGGGTAACCCCCTCTCGGGGAGGGGGGGCGCCATCTTGGTCAAGGGGTAACCCCCTCTCGGGGGGGGGGGGACGCGCCATCTTGGTCAAGGGGTAATTCCTCCCGGGGCGGGCGCCATCTTGGCCAAGGGGTAACCCCCTACCCTCGGACGCCATCTTGGTGTTGTTGATCAGCTGTTACTGTGTGGTGGAGGTTGTTGTTGTTGTTGACGGTAGCGGTGTGGATCGCTTTAACTTGGTGACTGTATTTTGTTTTTTGGGGAGGGGCCCCACGGGCCAATTATATTTCGTGTTCGAGACGCCACGTGTGGGTCTATTGTGACGTCACCAATAAAAAAATCCGTGCACCAATCCGTGTGAGAGTGGGTGAGCGAGTGTGGGTGAGTGTGGATGGGTGACTGAGTATGGGTGAGTGTACGAGTGAGTGTACGAGTGAGTGTATGAGAGTGAATGTATGAGTGAGTGTATGAGTAAGTGTATGAGTGAGTGAGTGTATGAATGTATGAGTGAGTGAGTGTATGAGTGAGTGTATGAGTGAGTGAGTGTATGAGTGAGTGTATGAGTGAGTGAGTGTATGAGTGAGTGAGTGAGTGTATGAGTGAGTGAGTGAGTGTATGAGTGAGTGTATGAGTGTGTGTGTGAGTGAGTGTATGAGTGAGTGAGTGTATGAGTGTATGAGTGAGTGAGTGTATGAGTATATGAGTGTGTGAGTGAGTGAGTGTATGAGTGAGTGAGTGTATGAGTGAGTGTGTGAGTGAGTGTATGAGTGAGTGAGTGTATGAGTGAGTGTATGAGTGTGTGAGTGAGTCTATGAGTGTGTGAGTGTATGAGTGAGTGAGTGTATTAGTGAGTGTATGAGTGAGTGTATGAGTGAGTGAGTGTATGAGTGAGTGAGTGAGTGTATGAGTGAGTGAGTGAGTGTATGAGTGTGTGAGTGAGTGAGTGTATGAGTGTGTGTGTGAGTGAGTGTATGAGTGAGTGAGTGTATGAGTGTATGTGTGAGTGAGTGAGTGTATGAGTATATGAGTGTGTGAGTGAGTGAGTGTATGAGTGAGTGTATGAGTGAGTGAGTGTATGAGTGAGTGTATGAGTGAGTGAGTGTATGAGTGAGTGTATGAGTGTGTGAGTGTGTGAGTGAGTCTATGAGTGTGTGAGTGTATGAGTGAGTGAGTGTATTAGTGAGTGTATGAGTGAGTGAGTGTATGAGTGAGTGAGTGTATGAGTGAGTGAGTGTATGAGTGAGTGTATGAGTGAGTGTACAACACATGGCATCTGCAGAGTCTGTCCCATGACTTACTCATCCCGTGCACCTACCTGGTACAGCAGCACAACCTATCACCACCACTACCACCACCAACACTACCACCACCAACACTACCACCACCATCACCACCACCACCATCACCACCACCATCACTACCACCACCTTCACTAACGCCACCACCATCACTACCACCACCATCACTACCACCACCATCACTTCCACCACCAACACTACCACCACCATCACCACCACCACCATCACCACCACCATCACTACCACCACCTTCACTACCACCACCAACACTACCACCACCACCATCACTACCACCACCATCACTACCACCACCACCATCACCACCACCACCACTACCACCACCATCACCACCACCACCATCACCACCACCATCACTACCACCACCTTCACTACCACCACCAACACTACCACCACCACCATCACTACCACCACCATCACTACCACCACCACCATCACCACCACCACCACTACCACCACCATCACCACCACCACCATCACCACCACCATCACTACCACCACCTTCACTACCACCACCAACACTA